GTAACAAGCAGACAAACGTGATAGTCAGTTGGAGGCAAGTTGCTCCCCTGTTCTAAATATAACATTGGGATGTTCTACAAATACCATTCCCATCCTTTCTGTTTTGAGTAACAAAGCAACACAAATGGATTTTGCTTTAGTATATTACTAGATAGATAACAAGTGTCATAATAATATGGGTTAGAAAAGAATCACAACCAAGCATGCTTTAATGAAAATTTTCAGTAATTTCTAATCTGTAGATCCACCAAAAACAACTCAACCTATGTCATATTAACACTATGCCAAATAACTCAGCCTATGCCATGTTAACACTATGCCAAGAAATTGACATAGAACTGATTCCCTAGATATAAATTCTGAGTTTCATACACACTATCAAGAAAAAAAGTTAAAAGTGCCAGTTTGAAGCATCTTATTCTACAGATACCTTCACAAAATGTATAAAGAAGAAATAAACATTTTGCCATAGGATGAGGAGATACAACCTGACCCTGTATTTTGGTCTGAGTTCCCTTTTGTCTAATTGCTTTATACAGAAGCATTCTAATTTTTATAGAAGCATTCTAATTTTTCTCTGGGTCTAATTGAAGCTATGGCTACCAAGGAATAGTAGTTCAGCAATTCTTATCTCTAACGGTCTCTATTAAAAGTACTGTACATTCTAGCTTCTTTTTACTGGTGTGGAGAACACAGGAAGCAGACTGACTTCAGGGGATAGCATTTCATAGAACCCAATGACAACAGAACAGAGTGTAAAGTGTCCAATGACTCTTTGTGCAAGTTCTTTTATAGAATATATTTTCTCCTTTTCTCACAGCAGTAACTCACAGACCATTAAATTTCACATATTTCCTATTCATTTTCTGTGTTAAAATATGGCTTATGACCCTGAGTAGAACTATCCAGGATTTTGTCCTGGAAGTGAATTTTTGCTATTTGATAATATATGACTTTGAAAGTATCAGAAAGTCATGGGCCATGAACCTATCCATATTAAATGACTTCAAATGGCTCAAATATGCATCTACTTCTACAAATGGAAAAAAAAAAAAAAAACAGGCCCTGAAAACATCACAAAATTGCCAAAGATTGCAATTGCTTCCATTAAATAATACCTTTAGCCAGACTTAACAACCAAAGTGTGAAAAAACGCAAAGTAAAAAAAAGCAAAATAAATATACATGACTATTACCACTTCCAACCAAAAAGCATTGAGTTTCAAGAAACTTACTACTACATTCAATGAAAGCAGATTTTAAGGAGCAGTCCTTTGATTTCCTAAAGTCAAATTTAAAAGCTTTTACCACATGATCTTGCCCACATGAAAAAAATTCAATCTCAAAAAAGTTAAGAGTAGAATGGTAGCTAGTAGAGGCCTAGGAAATAGGGATGGAGAAGTAGATCAGTGAGTGCTACGTTAGTTAGATAGGAGCAAAATGATGTGGAGTGCTACTACTCAATAGGTGATCAAAGATAATAATGTGCTATATATTCCCAAAGACGAGAATAAAAGGTTTTTTTGTTTTGTTTTGTTTTAAATTTTCTGTGTGTGCGTGTATGGCCTGCATGCAGGTAAGTGCATCCATGTCGTGCAATGCCCACGGAAGACAGTGAGGCTGTTGGATCTCCTGGAACTGGAGTTACGGGCAGTTGTTAGCTGCCATGTGGGGGCTGGGATTCGAACCCAGGTCTTCTGCAAGAATAGACAGTGCTCTTAACCACTGAGCCATCTCTCCAGCCCTGAATAAAAGGTTTTTTAACTTTTCAGCACAAAGAATTGACAAATGTTGAGGAAAAGATGTTTAATCTGATTTGACTATTATATAATGTAATGAAATATTGCAAAGTACATCACTGATTAGCACAACGTATGTTTTATGTATTAGTTAAAACTTTAAAAGCTTTCTCCCTTCATATTCAATTTTATGAAAGAGTAAAAATGAAATTGATATTCCTTATACATTAGAGTAATTCCCCTAAAAATGGGATATGAAATTACCACCTCAGTCTACCTAAAAGCTAGTCATCTTTGTGGTTAATGTTCAGTTCAGATACTAAGTACTTTTTTGTATTTTAAGTGACACATAACAATTATACATATTTATGAAGTACAGAGCATTAATTCAGTCTTTGTGGACAATAGGCAATGATTAAATGCATATGCATATGCATATGTAATGAACATTTACATCTCATTTATCATCTGTGTTAGAAGCCTTCAAGCCCTTCTGCTCCAGAGTTTAAAAAATACTTAATATACTGTTATGAACTAGTCACTCTACTCTGTTATAGAACATTAGAAATCCTTTCTCTTAACTGTATCTTTATACCCATTGCCTAACCTCCCTCTATCCTCCTCGCTCCACTACTCTCCTAGCCTCTACAACAACTACTCTAGGCATTTAACCTTGCCATAAACCTTTAACCACACAGGAAGACGATAATATATTTTTTCAGTTTTTATAACTACTAACAGGGGCCAGTGAGATGCCTCAGCGGGTAAAGGCTCCTGTCACCAAGCCTGAGGCGTGAATTTGATCCCCATATCCCATGGGTGAAAGAAAAGAACAGACTCCTGCAAGTTGTCTTCAAACCTTCACACACAGTCTGTAGCACTCAAGTGCCCACAAACATACACAGAAACACACATACACATGCACGCACGCAAGCACTCACCAATGAATGCCTGAATGAATGAATAATGAATGAATGAATGAAATGTAATTTTTTCAAAGTGAAAAACCACTAAGAGGCTGTCTTTATTGCCAAAACAGGATATAAGCTGTTGTCAGATATTTCCTACATATATTTATAAGACAGATGATTTAAGTATCTGCTAGGTCCCAGGAGGTTTTTGTAGGATCACAAAGCTACATAAAAAATAGAACCTCCAAACACTTCTATTACCACATAGGCTTTAATGCCCCAAACCACCACTATAGGGCAACCCAAAGAAGGGATGAGGAAAAGATATTACAGAAGGCTTTAAGAGATGAGTAAAATCCCTTTATTTCAGGTAAATAGGGAACATTAGAGTAGAAGGGGTGGAGGATGGCCTAGGTAGACACAAAGAACCATTTACCTGAAGCTTCCAGAATAAGTATAGTTGGAATACTGCTAAAAGCCAAAGTCATAGTTGACAAAGTAGCAAACACAAGATCCAAGAAGGAAGAAAAGGATCGGCTGAAGAGATGGCTCAGTGTTTCACAGCACTGACTGCTCTTGCAGAAGACCTAAATTTGATTACCGTGACCCATATGGTGCCTACCAACCACCCACAAGTCCAGTTCCAGGGGATCTGACACCCTCTTGTGGTCTCCATGGGCACTGCCCACATGTAATGCACACACATGCATGCAGACAAAACACTCTTATACATAAAAAAATTTTTAATAAAAAAAAATTTAAAAAGGAAAGGACATGAAGAGAGTAAGTAAAGGTAATGTTCCTAAAAGTGTTAAAAACATGACACAATCAGGAACATGGAATGTGCTTAGGAAAGTGGTACAGAACTAGTGCTGTTACCTATTAAGAATGCAGTCAAGCTGGGCATGGTGGTGCACACCTTTATTCTCAGGAGGCAGAGGCAGGAGGATCTCTGTGAGTTCAAGGCCAGCTTGATCTATATAGTGAGTTCCAAGCCAGCTGGGGGGGGGGGGGGGGAGCTACAGGGAGACCCTGTCTTAAAAATGAGATTCACTGATTGGTCCATACAGATGAGAGCAGATCAACAAACATTTGCTACTCCAGTTCCAGGGGCTCCAACACCCTCTTCTGACCTCTTTAGGCACTGCATCACATGGGTATATCTACCAACATGTGGGCAATACACTCGTTCACATAAAAATAATAAATAAAATATTTTTTCAAAGCTGAAAAGTAAAGTAGAAGCATGATGAAATGATGTATAGTATGCACATGCAACAGAATGCACTTCAAGTACATAATAGATTATCTGATTTAAAAAAGAATGAGCATGACAAGCTGAGATGAAAGAAAAAACCCTCCAAATACCTTAACTGCCTGTCTCCAACATATTTTCCCCATCACTAACACTTAATGTTTTCCACTAAGAACACATGATTTTCCTGAGAGGCAAAAATTTTCTTCACTATGCTTAAAAAGAAACATAAGCATAGATATCAATAAAAAGAAGATAATAAAAATGCCAAGCCTGTTTGGTTAGGAAATTGTCCCCTCATAGAACACATTTCAGAGAGTCTAGAGTGGAAAAATAAAAGAACGCTATGTTAAATGTATTTCTATTTTTAAAGGAGGGAGAAAAGTCTTATTTATGTCTCACTGCTTATTACCATTCAAGTTCTGTGCACATGGGAAGTCAATTGTTTACTCTTACATCCCAGCATGTGGATCAGAACTTCACATAGCAAGGACACAATACTTTTGTTTAGTAAATGACTGAATGAAGATAGTATCAAACTGTAAGGAGAACTGATAAACCTGGGTCAATTTTAGATCAATATTAGGACAGAAATGTATCATGGAATAGGTTGTGAAAACATATACAAAAACATTACCATATTTAGATTTCCTAGAAAATATGATTTTAATAAAGAAATGTTTACATTGTTAAGTATGTATAAACTCAGAGCAAGGACAAAAAGCAAGCTGGGTATAATGGCTTTTAATTTCAAGAACTTCTGAGGCAGACGGCAGGCAGATCTATGAGTTTAAAGTCAGCCCGGTCTACATAGCCAGTTCTAGATCACCGAGGGCTACAAAGTGAAACCCTGTCTCAAAAAAGTTAATTTTTTGAAGGGAAGAAGAAGGGAGGGGAGAGGAAAAAAGAAAAAAGGGAGAAAAAGAAAGGAAGGAAGAGGAAGAAATGAAATTGAGAGGATAAATAAAGACATGGAAAAAGTCATAATTTAAAACTTTGACGTAAATAATTCACAAACTAAAAATACTAAATCATACTAAAAATTCCAACTACTAAGCTGATTTCCCATTACTTTTCCATTGTTCTTATTCCTTACCTGAGAAGAATCTGCTTGGGCTAACCGTGTGATGACCCTCAGTATCTGGTGAAGATTCTGTCCTTCATCTTCAACAAGGAGGTGAGTCAGCAGTAAAATAACATGCACGGGGATCACCATAGTGACAGGTAGCAAGGACTCCATGGCAGTCAGCCAGTCACTTGCTGCAGACTCTTCTCCCATTACTTCAAGAATCCTCCAGGCTGTGAAGATTGAGCCATACATGCTGCTTATAGGAAACGTAAGCCTGCTGAAGAGCTGAAAAATAGACATAAAAGGCATAAATGAGATGAATATATTTGACAAAAATACATTCCTTATTTCTGACATTCATTTACTATATAGCTCACTATAGGAAACAGTTCCTCCAAATAAATGAATACAACTTTGAGTTACCAATAAACAGCTCTCTACCCACACCTGAGGTAACAGGATTACACAAAGAGGGGAAAAAAAGTTGTTCAAGAGAACGTGAGAATATTTTATCACACAATTTTCTCATATTTACATTTATTCCCCATTAATAAAGGTGGGAAATGGATCAATATACAAGATTCAGAAGTAGGAAAGCTTGGGAAAAACTTCTCACTTTAAAAAAATTAAAAATGGTCAGCAATAAGAAGGAAGAGAGGCACCCCAATTCATTGGGCCAGCTCCAGGCTTTCATAAGAGGTAGCTCAGGGCAGATGGCAGATTTGGATAAAGGAAAATTCACATTAGTAAGAGACAGTACGTTGATGGGCTCAGAGTTGGTTTAGCAACAGCCTGGGAATTCATTAGTATTTGTGAATAAGTTCTGCAACAAAATGTAGGCTGACAGCTCTAAGCAGAAACACTACATTTCAGCAAATCAAAAAAATGAATCCTCACAAGCAAAGCAGTGTGGTCAGGTCTAGGGAGTAGGCAGAACCTTGTATTATGCTTAGGGCAGAAATGGCTGAGAAGCCCTAGGCATTATAGAAGCATTTGACACTGCCTGCTAATAAAGTAATTCAAAGTTCACAGAGGATGATGACAGAAATTAAAAATCTCTAAATCATGACTCTCTGTATTAAAGGATGTCTGATAAAAGTACCAACTGAAAGAATGGGAAATAATTTAATCTTCATAAAAATTTTAGTAACAAACCCATTAAGATATATTCTACAAGACATTCTCCACATGATAGGGAAGCTGCACCAAAGAAATCTCCACAGGATGGCAGTCTAACAAGATGTGTAGAATGACAAAACAAAGGGACATGCCAAGGTGGATGGGGGGAAATGTCATGGGGGTCCCACTGCAAGATAAAAAGCTACAGACAAGAGACATATGCTGAAAAAAGGAGAATCAGTTTTCTCCAGGGATGAGGCTCCTTGAGAGCTTACCTAATCCCAAATGGACAGCGCTAAACACAGGTACAAATGAGCGCCACTAAAGGGAACTCAGTGCAATTCATTTGTATGTCTATTTATGAATATATGTTTGTATATGTAAGAATAATAATCCATGAGCATGGGAGGTCCTTCCATCTTCTGACGTCGTCCTCAATCTCTCTTAAAGATTTAAATTTTAAATTGTCAAGATCTTTAATGTCTTTGGTCAGGTTTATTCCGAGATATTTTAAATTTTTGCAGCTAGTGTGAAGGGGAGTGTTTCCATGTGATCTTTCTCTGATTGCTTGTAACTGGTATATAGAAAGGATGCAGACTTTTATACGTTAATTTTGTAACCAGCCACTAGGAGTTTTCTGGTGGAATTCATGGCATCTCTTAGATATAATATCATATCATCTGCAAAAAGGGATAATTTGATCTCTTATTTTCCAATTATTACTCCTTTATTTCCTTCTTTTGTCTTACTGCTCTTGCAAGCGGTTCAAGCACTATGTTAAGGAGAAGTGGAGAGAGTGGACAGCCTTGTCTAGTTCCTGATTTCAATGTGAATGCTTCCAGTTTTTCTCCATTTACAATGATGTTGGCTTTGGGTTTGTTATATATGCCTTTAATTATGTTGAGGTATGTTCCCTCCAGTCCAATTCTCTCTACGACTTTGAAAATAAATGTGTGTTGAATTTTGTCAAAGGCTTCTCTACATCTATTGAGATGACCATGTGGTTCTTGTCTTTGAACCCATTCATATGATTTATGATGTTTATTGACTTACATATCGTGAACCATCGCTGCATATCTGGGATAAAGCTGACTTGGTCATGGTGGATGATCTTTTTGATGTGTGTCTGTATGCGGTTTACAAGTATCTTGTTGAGAATTTTTGCATCTATGTTCATTAAGGAAATGGGTCTATAGTTTTCTTTTTGGTTGTATATTTACCCGGCTTTGGTATTAGAGTGACGCCAGGCTTATAGAAGGAATTTGGAAGTTCTCCCACCATTTCCATCTTTTTGAATAAATTAAGTAGTATTGGATGTAGCTCTTGGAATTGTTGATTCTTTGTATTGTTTTCTTTGTTTCAATTTCATTAATTTCTGCCCTGATTTTTGTTTTTTCTTCTTGTCTGCTGCGTTTGGGTTTCGTTTGCTGTTGGTTTTCAAGTGTCTTGAGTTGCAATGTTAAGTCATTTATTTGTGTTCTTTCTGATTTTTTGATGTAGGCACTTAGAGCTATAAACTTCCCTCTAAGGACTGCTTTCAGCATGTCCCAGAGGTTTTGTTGTGTTGTATTGTCATTTTCATTTAATTCCAGGAATATTTTTATTTCTTTCTTAATTTCTCTTTTGACCCATTCATCATTTAGGAGTGTGTTGTTTAAGCTCCATGTGTTCATGTGGTGATTAGGGCTTCTTTTGGATTTGATTGTAGCTTTATTGTATTGTGGTCTGACAGAATGCATGGAATTATTTCAATCTTTTTTATTTGTTGAGGTTTGTTTTGTGCCCCAGTATGGTCAATTTTGGAGAAGGTTCCATGTGATGCTGAGTAGATGCTTGGGTGGAATACTCAGTAGATATCTGTTAACTCCATTTGGTATATGGTATTGTTTAATACAGATGTCTCTCTGTTAACTCTCTGCCCTGCTGATCTGTCTAATGGAGACAGTGTGGTATTGAAGTCCCCTACTATTAATGAGTTGGGATTCATCTGGGTCTTAAAGTCCTGTAGTATTGTTTTTATGAAGTTGGGTGCACCAGAGTTTGGTGAATATATGTTCATCATTGTAATATCTTCTTGACTTATTGTTCCTTTGATCAGAATGAAGTGGCCCTCTTTATCTCTTCTGATTCATTTTAGTTTAAAATCTATTTTGCCAGATATTAGAATTGTTATGCCTGCTTTTTCTTAGTACCATTTGCTTGGTATATTTTTTTTTTCTATCCTTTCACTTTAAGATAGTGTCTGTCCTTGAAAGTGAGATGAGTTTCTTACAGACAACAAAAAAATATGTTTTGTTTCTTAATCCATTTACCTAGGCTGTGTCTGTTGACTGGGGAGTTCAGTCCGATAATATTTAAAGTTAGTAATGAAAGATGAGTATTGCATCTGATCATTTTTATTTCTGTTTACATTCTTGATATAGCTGTACTTTTCCACAGTTATACCTTCTTTGAATTTCTTTCCTCAATCCCTTGGGTATAGTCATTCCTTTCTTCAGCTCTTTGTATTGCTTCCAGAACTCTCTGAAGGGCTGGTTTTGTGGACATGAATTCCTTCAGCCTCTTTATGACATGGAAGGTTTTTCTTTCCCCTTCAACTGTAATAGACATTTGGCTGGGTATAGTAATCTGGGTTGGCATCTGTGGTCATTTAAAACTGGGTATACTTTGATCCAGGCTCTTCTGGCTTTCATAGTTTGCACTGAAAAGTCAGCTGTGATCCTAATGGGTTTTCCTTTATATGTGACTTGTTGTTTGTCTTTTACAGCTTTCAGTATTGTCTCTTTGTTCTGTATGTTTAGTGCTTTTACTGTGATGTGCTGTGGAGTTTCTTTTCTGGTCCTGTCTGTTTGGTGTTCTATATGGTTCTTGTATTTGTATGGGCATGTCTTTCTTTAATTTTCAGAAATTTTCTTCCAATATTCTGTCGAAGATCTGGTCCACACCATTATCTTGGGATTCTTCTCCTCCTATAAGCCTATGATTTGTAAGTTTTGTCTTTTTATGGTGTCACACAATTCCTGCATATTCCATTCTTGTGATTTCTTAAATTTTCCATAATCTTTGCTTGAGTGGTCTAGTTCGTCCACTTTATTTCCAGTCTTGATGCTCTGTTTTCCATTTCATTCATCCTATTGGTGAGGCTTTCTCCTGTCACTTGTAATTGGCTTACTGAGTGTTTCACTTCCTTCTTCATTTCAGCCTGAGTATTCTTCAATATTTCTAACTCTCTTCTGAGTTCATTCAGAAGT